TCCTTTTTTTGGGGGGGGGGGGATTAAATCCATATGACTTTTTAAAAAAAGAGTTTATGACATCTCTTAAACTCCATCTCATTCTAGAAAAAAGAATTCACTTGTAGTTTTCATAATTAAGGAGAAAACTAATGGAACTAAAATGGCCCAACATAGTTCAAGGTTAAAGATTTTGAAGAATTATTCTAAGCACTTGCCAGAAACATATTGCAAATGCCTTTGCTCAGAAGCTCAAGGAGTAGTACACATCATTTTTCCATTCTGACTAGGCAAGGGAACAATTAGATACCTGGAGTATCCCTGAAAGAAACCTTGAGCAATATCATTCATATGTGAAATGTGCTTCAGTGCATGAAGTTTCAGAAAAGTTGTAAGAATGCATATACAGTATTTTAAGTTCCATGGCTGCAGAAAGGCACAATATCAAGTGCAGAAACTAAATAAATAAGCAGATTGAAAAACTAACAAGATAGATAACTTTTTACTCTTCCTATTTGATCCAGATGTTGGGAAGGCCATAAAGAACAATTTCTATAATACTACAAATCTATAAATCACAGTTAATAAAGCAGAATGACTGTATTCACATAACATGGTAAACCAAAATAAACAGACCCCATAATGGCTTAACATATTGATCTGATTCAAACAACATGCTAAGACCTAATGTGGTCTATTTGGTTTAGCTTAGCTACTATAGTCTATGAGTTACAGCTTATGGCTTAGCATGTTATGCTAACATTGCCACAGATATTTAAAGTATAAATAAAATACAGAATTTTGATGATTTCCTGAAGAAGTCTATAATGCTGGGAAAGATGAAAGGAAAGAGGACAACTATCAGCAAGATGAATGGACTCAGTTACAGTGATCGTGCACTGTTGGAAGCCCTGAAGCGCCAGACTGGGGACAGATCATCCTGGAGGTCTATTTATGTGGTCACTAGCAATTGACACTGACTTGATGAAACATAATCAATCAATTCTGAAGATAAGGTCAGCTTGATCTTCCCCATAGTTATTTTGGATACCAAAATATATATTTCAACCAAAACATACCATTCCTTTTCTAATTCGCACACTTACTTTCTTTGGCAGAAAATGGACTCCTATAGTATATTTGCCAGGATTTGTCCAAAGCTCTATTTGTGCCAACACCTGGTTGGTAAAAGAATTGCTCATAACAAAACTGGGATGTCCCATGGCACATCCCAAGTTCACCAGCCTGCCCTCTGCCAGAAGTATAATATGGCGTCCATTTTTCAGTGTGTAGCGGTCCACCTGAATGAAAACAAAAAACAAACCCTGTCAGGATTTTTTTTTTTTGGAAAGGAGAAAGGGGAGGAGGACATTGCTAGACTCCCAGATGATGCAACACCACAACCATAATATTTGTGACAAACTGTGAAATCAATAGACTGAATCTTTATAAACAATTTTGCAGAACAAGGAAAAGGCAATTGATTATTCAGTCACCTGATAATCTTTTTCACTGCATTTCCTGTAGAAACAGTACATTAAAAGCAATGAGATAAAATATACAACCCCTTAAGCACACCAAGGCAGCTAAGTTCTTGGACAAACAATTTCTCAGATGTACTCATAGAACCCACCAATTTATGCATTTTTATGGCAGAATGCAGTATCTGAGTAAAAGAAACTAAAGCTTCTTCTATGTAGATATTGTATATCTTACAGTGGGGATTATTTCCCCAAAGTCCATTTTTCACAAGATTATGCTAAAGCTATGGGCTCTCCAGAAAATTCTGAATCAGAAAAAATGTCTATGCAAAAATTTTGAATTGGAAAAATGTCCCTATGCAAATGAATAGGATTTGAATTAGCATATTTTTCTTGGTAGTCATAAGCTGCATACTATTTGGGTTTGATGTGGGAAAAAATAAATCTAGTATATTTATGAAATTTGAATATTACATTCAAAGAATCTAAAATCTCTGACAAGTGGAGTACAATATTCTTACTGGAATATTGGAAACAATGTTGGGCAAGAGACAATAAAATAATATGCAATTACAACACACTTTTAGCTTCTCTCTCCCTTTTTAAGAACAATCACCTGAAAAGCAAATATCATATAACTTTGAAACTGCCAAATTTGTTGAAGTAGAAAATTTTTATCTTGCAAAATTTTACCTTCTGGAAACTTTCTTAGCCCGTATCTCTGGGTTACAATGAATGAAAAAGCCAACATAACCTGTTCATGGTAATGAAGTACAGCACAACATCCAATCATTTCTAGAGACATTCAGCTAGGAAAGTCTTAGACTGATCCACCAACAAATAGTATTTATCTATAGTCTAGTTAATTAAACACAGTTATAGTGTTTAGACTATAGACTATAGTTAATCTAATTAAACACAGAAGTTAAAATTCAAGGTCTTGATTGTAACCTATAAAGCCCTTCATGGCATGGGGCCAGGTTATTTGAGGGACCATCTCTCACTGATTACGTCTACCCATCTCACTAGGTTTGGCAGAAGAGGCATGCTCCAGGTTCCATCTGGTAAGGAAGGCCATCTAGCAGAGTCCAGGAAGAAAGTCTTTTCTGTTGTGGTGCCTGCCCTTTGGAATATCATCCCCTGCCACTGGAGATCAGATTGGCCTTGACCCTATTGGCCTTGACCCTGTTGGCCTTTCATAAGGCCTTAAACACCTGGTTCTGTCACCGTGCCTGGGGATCAAGAGGTGGGGTTGGGCCCATACACTTGTTATATCAACTTGTGACTAATGGGTCTGTTTTTGCCCCAGCTACTGTTTATGTTTTTGTTTTTCAATCTTTTATTTTTTTAAACACTGTTATCCACCCAGAGTAATAAATTTGAGATTGGAAGCCAAATAAAATAAAATAATAAAATAAAATAAAAAAAGATACAAATGTTTTTGAAATGATCTTGAAAAATGCACAGTTGAACCCATGTAATCATCAGGGGTCTTTTCAGCAATTTATATTCTCTCTGGAATAATGAAAGTAAGAAAATAAGAAGTGCAAATAAAGATGGTTCTTCATTATAGCAAGAATTCAGGAACAGGCACATAAGAAGAAACAAGAATAATGGTTATTTGGTAGCTCCAAACACATCAAGAGGAAGATAGCTGAAGGACCTGTCTTAACGGTACAAACAGAAGAACCTCAAGGAGAGGCAAAGTGTGCAGGATACTTGGCTGGGACAACTGAAAAGTAAACAGATAAAATGTCCCCCATATTGCTTGTACATACATTTTGTTTTCAAATTTAAAGCAGAACAGATTCTGTTCAATGTATATACTGGAAGCCCTCACTAGCATCACCACACATGCAACTTTATTTCAATACTTGAGCTTACCCATATGGGTTAAACTCTTGGGAAAAGCGAACTATAAAAAGGTATCATTTCTGCAGAGAATGAACTAACAAATTTTGGCTGTAAGAATTTGGTGGAATAAAGACACCAAAACAGCAGGGGGGGGGGGCATGGCTCAGTGGAAAAGTTTACATAATGAAACCAGGAAGTATTATTTCCAAACCCACATCTCTACATAAGGCCAAGAATCACACTGCAGCACCAAAAATCAAGAATAACTTATTAAGTTCTTGCTGTAGAATGAGTAGATCTGCTTCATTATGGTCAGAAGATATCGGTCTTTCAAGCTTTGAACAAGCCATTGTACTCCAAATGTCAGCCTTCAAAAGCCATACAGCAACTGTGCAGCAGGCAGAACATAAATATAAACTTTTAGCATACCATAAAAGGCAACAGGACTGGCTAAAAAATATTTTGCTACTTAAAGCAGTGGTACATCCATTCAAGTCAGGGTGCAGACTACTCAAAGTCAGATTCAAAGTTATTTTGAAATATAAGGCAGAAAAAAATCTGTGAATTCTGCTATTTTAGCTGAGAAGGAATGGGAAATACAAAGCGGATTAGAAGAGAAAGTGGAGATTAACACTACTAACTATTCAGATTGATAAATAGTGAACACTGGGTAAATTGGACCATCAATTATTTTCAGAATGTCCTGGCCGGCATGGCTGGAGGATGAGGGGAACTGTAGCCCATCTCAAGGTAGCAAGTTGATGGAAATTGTCCTACCATATAATTGCTCTCAGAAGTAGAAGAAATCTGCTTCAAAAGCCGTTTGCCATTGTTTCAGAATCTCTAGGCAAATTCAAACAATTCTCCTGCTTCTAAGGATGGGGGAGGAGTTAAAGCATAAAGAGATAAAGCATAAAGCATGGGAAGGGAAAGAGATAATGGCTAATTTTACATAGAATTGTTTTTTAAAAAATGGTTGTATGTCACCCAGAGTCACTTTGTGTGAGATGGGTGGCTATATAAATGTGATAGATAGATAGATAGATAGATAGATAGATAGATAGATAGATAGATAGATAGATAGATAGATAGATAGATAGATAGATA